CTGGAAGGTGAATCACCTCTGGTTGAGAACTGTAGCTTTAAGCAATTCATTTTCTCTCATGGTTGGGACTCAGAAGTGTAGGCACTTGAAGAGGCTCCCTTCTTCCTCTATGCAAATAAGCAGGAGAGTCTCTCCTGGAAAAACCCTTACATTCCCCTTCCCATCCTTAATGCTAATACTCAGCCCTCTCAGGAAAAGCAGTGCTCTCCCAGGTCTGGCTCCGGAGGTGAGGGTGAGGGCAGGGTTGGGTGGGCAGGCTCAGGCTCTGTGAAGGGGATCAGCTAGCGTCTGGAGCTTACGTGGTGCGTGCGTCACGCTGTCCATCCAGGCCATGCCCCAGACCTGCATTCCTCCAAATGAGGAATGTGTGAACCCTGAAAGATCTAAAGCTAAGCTTTGTTAACAATGCTGGAGAAAAAGCTGCTTCTGTGTGGGGCTTACCTACCCGTAAGTCCAACAGTCTGTGGCTTCTCTAAGCCAGGTGGATTAAAACTGTGCTCCGGCCTTCTTGAGCATTGTGGCAAATGAGTCTCCAAAGCTGGGAGCAGGGGATGCCTGCCTGGCCACTCCCTGCCATAAGGACTTTACAAAGAGTCCATTGTGCACAACATAATCTAAGACAGAATCAATGCACCCGGCTGGGCCACTTACCCCCAGCTTTGGCCAGTTATTCGGGAACAAACACTAATTGCCTAGAAGTAAACATTTTCAGTCGATAAAAAATGCCACTGTGGGGCCGGGCGTGGTGGCTCACGCCTGTAATCCAAGCACTTTGGAGGCCAAGGAGGGCGGATCACCTGAGGTCTGGAGTTCAAGACCAGACTGACCAACATGGTGAAACCCCGTCTTTAAAAAAAAAAAAAAAAAAAAAAATGCCACTGTGAACTCAAGACAGGCAGAGCATTTGTAGATACCTAGAACCTGGGTCCTGGCTGCTTGGAACAAAAAGAAAATCTGCATTGGGAATTATCACTAGTAACTCAGGTTCAGTGTCTCCAGACATAGAAAAGAGAGGTCAAGAGAATCCGAATTCCACTTGTATTCATTCATTTAATAAATATCCATTGAGTCCCTATTGTATGCCCAGCATTGGGCTCTACCCCTGGGAAGAATTTAATTTTAGATGGACTCTTTCAGGGTTCATACGTTCAGAAGCTTCTAGAGCCTGACAGTAACTGAAATGGAAGAGGGGGAGCACTGCTTATGCCCATCTGAAGGGGCCCTCTCCTCAGCTTCAGTGACCTATTGCCATAATGGTCTTCAAGCCCAGCTGAAAACAGAATTTTTACACGAAATCTTTTTTTTTTGTTTTGTTTTGTTTTGAGACAGAGCCTTGCTCTGTCACCCAGGCTGGAGTGCAGAGGTACAATCTCGGCTCACTACAACCTCTGTCTCCCAGGTTCAAGCAATTCTCCTGCCTCAGCCTCTTGAGTAGATGGTATTACAAGCATGTGCCATCATGCCTGGCTAATTTTTTATGTTTTTAGTAGAGATGGGGTTTCGCCATGTTGGCCAGGCTGGTCTCGAACTCCTGACCTCATGATCCGCCTGCCCCAGCCTCCCAAAGTGCTGGGATTACAGGCATGAGCCACGGTGCCTGGCCAAAATCTTTTAATTTTTAACGATAGGCTAAAATTAAAAAAGAAAAACAAAACTAACTGCCCTGCATGGATAAAAGCAAACCAGTCCCCAAGCCTTTAAAGGATAACCTTTGCTTTAGACACAGCGGGGAGTGGTGGTAAACTGAGGTGCCTGGAAGGAGTGAGAAGGGTATCTTTCCTACCCCTTGCTTGCTTTGTGATCTTGGGCAAGCTATCTAACCTCTCTGGGCCTTATTTTCCTCATGTATAAAATAAGTATGATAAAGCATATTGTAGATTTCAATAAAAGAATATGTGCACATGCCTGATCCATACTAACTCAATAAATGTGAGCTATGATTTTTGCTGCCATCAAGTCCACTCTTCTAGGAACCTCTTTTATAACATCTTTGACTAATGAACATTCAACCACTGCTTGTGTGCCTCCTGAGACAGGAAGCTTATGGCTTCTTAGGGAATGCTAGTGGTATAAAAATCCCCAAGTCTCAATGGCTTAATCTAATGTAAGTTTATTTATTGCCCATGCCCCAGTTCACTGTGGTCAACAGTGCTCTGTTTCACCCTATGCCCGGTAGATCCGTACCCTCTCTTGGCTGGCTCTGTCATCTCCCAGGACCTTCCCAGAATTCTCTGCTGAGTTATCTGCTTTCAGCTAGCTGAGAAGCAGGGAGAGAGTGGGGTGGGGATAGAAGGAGAGCGAGAGAGAGAAAATGAATGAATGAATAAGTAAATGAATGAATGAATCAGGAGCATCACATATCACATCTGCACATTCCCATTTGCCAGAACCCTGTTACATGGCCCCAACCTACTTATAAAGGAGGCTAGGACGTGACGTGTTCCTATGTGTCCAGAAACAGAACAGAGAAAACAGCATTGGTGAACATCTAGACAATCTCTGCCGCACTCTGCATTCATACAAACACAATTCTACGGATTTAGAGTATCAACCTGCTGGTCTCTGTTTTGCTCTTCAAAACAGCAGACACAACAGCAAGACACAGGTCAGGGGGCAGACAGGCTTGGATTTGAATCTTAGTTCCAATACTTGCTAGCTTTGGACCTTGGCGAATTCCTTAAACAACTGTGCCTCAGTTTTCCCATTCAAAAAATAAGGGTAGTTCGACTTGCCTCACTGGATTGTTATAAGGATGGAATAAACACTGCGTAGTAGCTAGTGTGTAACCTGTAAGGTACTCAGTTAATACAAGTGTCTCCTCTTGTCCTCTTAGACCTGATTGCTTTGCAGGTATTTAAAGATGACTATCATTATTTCCATATGTGTTCTCTTTTTCTAGTTTTCTCAGCTATTTTCACTCTTTTTATACAACGTCACTGCAGGACCCCTCACTCTTCTAATGGCTGTTCCAAGGATGTACCCCATGGGCTGTTCCAAGGATGTACCCCAGTTTGTCCCTTGACAAAGTGCCTTAGTTTGGGTTTCTCTAGAAGATCTTGAGACAAGGACTTGGGTGCAGATCATTTAGAGGGGAAGTAATCTTAGGAAACACAAGTGAAGGAAAAGAGGAAGGGAGAAAAGTTAATAAATGAGTGGGTTACAGCTGTATGCAATTGGGATTCAGTCCCATCAGGAGCTCTGAGAAACCATGTTGCAAGCATCTTGCATTGTCACACATTCTATGTCCCGCAGGATGGGGAAGCTGGGGCATTAATCCATGAAATCCAGTTCCCATTGACTGATGGCTTTTACCAACTAAGGAGCATTAGCTGCCTTGAAAATATGGGATGGTTCTACATATAGCCGAGCAAGATTCCCTGACCTCTAGAAAGCAAATAGAAAGACACCATGATGTGAGTTTATATGGATTGGTAAAGTGTCCACTGGTAAAGCATGTGGCAGTGTTCACCACAGCTACATTGGAATCTGGTGGCTGGAAGATGTGTCTCAGTGCATCATAAGCTCTGTTACACAGCCTCTAGCAAGAGTGTCTGGAAGAATTTACCCCACACGCTCATAAATACTGTGCCTAAATGTAGGGATTATGGTGAAAAGTTATTTTATCTTTTTAATTGTTTTCATTTCCTCAAGGAAACTGTGATGGTCAGTAATAAATACTGTGAGCCAGGTGAGGGTTTGACCAATGTAGAACAGAAGACATAACAGCTCATTAAAAGCAGACTGGGAATAAAAGAAGAATTAAAACTGCTTTTATTTGCAGATGGCATAATCCTGCATATAGAAAATACCAAGGAAGGTATATACAAAACGTCTGGAACTAATGTAGGAGTTTAGCAATGCTGCAGGATCTAAGATCAGTACTTTAAAAATCTACATATTTCTATATACTAGCAATGGCAAACCCAAAAAATAAAATTTAAAAAAATCTATTCACAAAGCATCAAAAAGAATAAACAGAAATAAATATAATAAAAGTTTAAGACTTGTACACTAACAATTGCAAAACATTACTAAGAAAAATTAATGAAGATTCAAATAAATGGAGACATTCCCGACCCACGGATTGGAAGACTCAAGCTTGTCAAGATGGCAATTCCCCCTCAAATCGATTAATAGATTCAACACAACTCCTAAAAATTCACACACAGATCCTACAATTTATAGGAAAATGCAAAGTATAGCCAAAACTATTTTTAAAAATAAGAATGAAATTGAAAGACTTCTATCACCCAATTTCAAAACTGACTATAAAGCCACATGAATCAATACACTGTGATACTGATGTAAGGCTAGACATGTCCTTAGAGATGAATGAAGAACTGAGAGTTCAGATACAAACCCTTGCATTGATGGTCAATTGATTTTTTGACAAAGGGCCAAAAAAAAAAAAAAAATCAATGGGGAAAGGATAGTCTTTTCTCAGCAAGTGATCCTGAGACCATCACACATCCACATGCACGAATATGAACTTAGTCCCTTCTTTCACATCATATGCAAAAAAATAATGAACTAAAAATGGATCACAGAGTTAAAACTACAAAACCTCTGGAAGAAAATATCAGAGAAAACCTTGGTAGCTTTGAGTTGGGTAAAGAGTTCTTGGATATGACACAAAAATCATGACACTTAAAGGAAGAAATAATAAATTAGATTTCATCAAAATTAAAGTTGTGTACTTCAAAAGATCAAGAAAAAAATTTAAAACAAGCTATAGGCTGAGAAAATATTCAAAAATCATAGACTTGATAACAGGCTTTTGCATAGAATAAAGAAAAACCTCTGAAAAACAACTCCATTTTAAAATGAGCAAAAGATTTAAATAGCCATTTCACTAAAGGAGGTACTAAGCATATGGAAAGCTATGCAATATCATTAGTCATTAGGGAGACACAAATTAAAACCACAGTAAGATATCACCACACACCCACTAGAATAGTTATGATGTAAAAGACAACACCAAATGTTGGTGAGGAAGCAGAAAAACTGAAACCCTAATATGTTGCTGATAAGAATGTAAAATGGCCTGTTCATGTTAGAAAACAGTTTGACAGTTTCTTTAAAAGTTAAACGTACCTTTACGATACACTCTAGTGATTCCACTCATAGGACTCTACCCAAGAGAAAGAAAAGAATGTCCACATAAAACTTTACATGAATGTTTACAGCAACTTATTCATTACGGTCAAAACGAGGAAACAACCCAAGTTTCCATTAACTGATGAAGAAATAAGCACAATGTAAAAGTTCGCTCTGGTTGAACTTTTGTGAGTTCATCCAGAGTAAACTTCTGAGATTATAAACTTGACCTGTGATATTAAGGTTAAAAGACAAATGAGACAATTGCACCAAGTTTGTTAACAGTTTTAAAGTATTTGACTACGTAAGTGTATATCATGTCTTGTTTTGGTACCTGCATAAGGCATTTTGAAGCTGACACACACTGTTGCCAATCTGCTGACTTGCTTGAAGCAGGATCTGGGCTTGCAATTGCTCTGCTTCCCTAAATTCTCTTTCAGTTTTTCTGACTCGTAAGCCAGGTGTATGTGTTTAATTCCATGATGAAGGACTCCAGCTTCTGTGGAGTCTGGCTCATATTCATGAGACAATAGCCTTTTTCTGATCTTCATTTCCTGCCTGTGGGCTTCAGAGATTTGGCTGGAGTAAGATCTGCTCCCAAGCTCACATGGCTTTTAGGGCATTGAGTTTCTTGCAGGTTGTTAGACTGAGGACCTCATTTTCTTGCTACCTGTTGGAGGCTGCCTTCAGCTCCTATGCTATATGGCCTTCTTCACAAGGCAACTTGCTCCTTCAAAGCCAGCAAGAGAGAAAGACTCTCCTGGAAAGATGGATTATAAATCATTTTACTGAGGGAATGGGTTCTCTTTCCAGGGTCCACAAGGGGGCAGAGTTTTAAGGGCAAAAGTTTTCCAGCACCATGCCCCCTCCCATCTCTCTCCATCCGGGAGATTTAAAGGTTTATGTTTGAATTTCGCGGGTGAGGAAAGAAACTAAGAGTCAATCACCAGTACCATGCTGTTTTGATTACTGTAGCCTTGTAGTATACTTTGAAGTCCGGTAGTGTGATGTCTCCTGCTTTGTTCTTTTTGCTTAGAATTGACTTGGCTATGTGGGCTCTCTTTTGTTTCCATATGAAGTTTAAGGTGTTTTTTTCCAGTTCTGTGAAGAAGGTCACTGGTAGCTTGATGGGAATAGCGTTGAATTTGTAGATTACTTTGGGCAGTATGGCCATTTTCACGATGTTGATTCTTCCTAACCATGAACATGGAATGTTTCTCCATCTGTTTGTGTCCTTTCTTATTTCGTCGAGCAGTGGCTTGTAGTTCTCCTTGAAGAGGTCCTTTACGTTCCTTGTTAGTTGTATTCCTAGATATTTTATTCTCTTTGTAGCAATTGCGAATGGCAGTTCATTCTTGATCTGGCTCTCTTTAAGTCTGTTACTGGTGTATAGGAATGCTTGTGATTTTTGCACGTTGATTTTACCAAAACAAGAGATATAGACCAATGGAATAGAACAGAGGCCTCAGAGGAAATACAACATATTTACAACCATCTGATCTTCAACAAACCTGACAAAAACAAGCAATGGGGAAAGGATACCGTGTTTAATAAATGGTGTTGGCAAAACTGGCTAGCCATGTGCAGAAAGCAGAAACAAGACCCCTTCCTGACACCTTATACTAAAATTAACTCCAGATGGATTAAAGACTTAAACATCAGACCTAACACCATAAAAACCTTAGAAGAAAATCTAGGCAAAACCATTCAGGACATAGGTGTAGGCAAGGACTTCATGACCAAAACGCCAAAAGCGATGGCAACAAAAGCCAAAATAGACAAATGGGACCTAATCAAACTCCACAGCTTCTGTATAGCAGAAGAAACAGTCAGTAGAGTGAATCGGCAACCAACAGAATGGGAAAAAATTTTTGCAGTCTACCCATCTGACAAGGGGCTGATATCCAGAATTTACAAAGAACTAAAACAGATCTACAAGAAAAAAACAAACAAGCCCATTCAAAAATGGGCGAAGGATATGAACAGACACTTTACAAAAGAAGACATACAGGAGGCCAACAAACATATGAAAAAATGCTCATCATCACTGGTCATCAGAGAAATGCAAATCAAAACCACGTTGAGATACCATCTCACACCAGTTAGAATGGCGATCATTAAAAAATCTGGAGGCAACAGATGCTGGAGAGGATGTGGAGAAATAGGAACACTTTTACACTCTTGGTGGGAGTGTAAATTAATTCAACCATTGTGGAATACAGTGTGGCGATTCCTCAATGACCTAGAAATAGAAATCCCATTTGACCCAGCAATCCCATCACTGGGTATATATCCAAAGGATTATAAATCATTCTATTATAAGGACACAGGCACACGAATGTTCATTGCAGCACTGTTTACAATAGCAAAGACCTGGAACCAACCCAAATGCCCATCGATGATAGACTGGATAAGGAAAATGTGGTACATATACACCATGGAATATTACGCAGCCATCAAAAATGATGAGTTCGCGTCCTTTGTAGGGACATGGATGAACCTGGAAACCATCATTCTCAGCAAACTGACACAAGAGCAGAAAATCAAACACCACATGTTCTCACTCATAGGCGGGTGCTGAACAATGAGAAGACATGGACACAGGGAGGGGAGCACTAGACACTGGGGTCCGTTGGGGGGAAATGGGGGAGGAAGGGGGGTTGGGAGGTGGGAAGAGATAGCATGGGGAGAAATGACAGATACAGGTGAGGGGAAGGAAGGCAGCAAACCACACTGCCATGTGTGTACCTATGAAACAATCTTGCATGTTCTTCACATGTACCCCCAAACCTAAAATGCAATTGAAAAAAAAAAAAAGAGAGACAATCACTCCAGCGGAAGTTCTAAGGAACTCCTTTCATTGGCCAGGGGTGTTAGAGAAGGTGGGGGTTCCTTCCAGGTTAAAAGTCCCCTTCTGGGAGGAAGGCAGCAAATCACACTGCCATGTGTGTACCTATGCAACAATCTTGCATGTTCTTCACATGTACCCCAAAACCTAAAATGCAATTTAAAAAAAAAAAAAGTCCCCTTCTTCCACACCCCTTCGGACTCCATGTTTGGATCCCTTTCCACGAACACTCTCTTGGAAGCTGTTTTTCTCTATCCTGGATTTTCCCTCTGGAGTCCCTTCCATACTCTCTCGTGGAAGCCTGTCTTCCCCTCCTAAACTCCATCTCTCTCTATTCCCTTCCACTCAGTGTGAAAGCTGCTTTCCTCTACTGGATTCCATCTTTCTGGATTATTTCACTCAGTGTAACAGGAGCTTTCCTTCTCTGGTTTTCCCTCTCAGGGAACCCTTCTCAGTGTGAGAGTTAGCTGTTTTTCAGTGTGAAAGTTAGCTGTTTGTCTCTCCTCCTTTTTCTCTCTCTGCTTTAAATAAATCACTTTCTACAAACACTTTTGAGTCCAGTATTTACTGTGCACTGTGCCATGGTCCCATCTCTCATTCTTGAGAGGGTAAGAGACCAAAAACCTGGAGAAACGTCCTGTCATGGGACACCCTGAACCCCTGAAACCCAATATAACACTACTATAAAGACACATACCCATTACATATGAAACCACACATATGTTGATTGCAGCAACTGTTCACAATAGCAAAGACTTAGAACTAACCCAAATGCCCATCAATGATATACTGGATAAAGAAAATGTGGCACATATGCACCATGGGATACTATGCAGCCATAAAAAAGGATGAGTTCATGTCCTTTGTAAGGATATGGATGAAGCTGGAAACCATCATTCTCAGCAAAGTGACACAAAACAGAAAATCAAACACCACATGTTCTTACTCATAAGTGGGAGTTAAACAATGAGAACACATGGACACAGGGAGGGGAACATCACACACCAGGGCCTGTCAGGGGGTAGGGGGCCAGGGGAGAGATGGCATTACGATAAATACCTGATATAGATGACGGGTTGATGGGGTGCAGCAAACCACTATGGCACATGTAAACTATGTAACAAACCTGCATGTTCTGCACGTGTACCCCAGAACTTAAAGTATTATAATACAAAAAAGAACTTTTTTACTAATAAAAAAATTGCATTTACTTAGAAGCATTCAGAATGCCAACAAAACAGCTGTAACTTTTTTTTTTTGCAATTACAGAGCAGTATTCAATTAACAAAACAACAATTATTTCATATAAGCTGAATCAGACACTAGTGAAAATGAAAAAAGTACCATCCTCATACATAACTAATTTGTGCTGTGCACCAAGAAGAACCTGCTTTAAATTTCCTTTCCAGTTTACAACCCCCATACTGTATCAGGAAAGGTTAGTGGCTATTGAAAATACAGCAGGACAGGGCTAGCTAAGGACACATTCAGATGTATATTAACTATACAAAAAAGACACTGTGTAATTTTAAAACAAATGTTACACAGCCTTGTATTTCAATGTCTTTTGTTAAAAGAAGTAGTTGTATACTGGGGGGTTAAATGCTTTATAGACAAGAAAAAACTGTGCTAGAACCAACTTATTCATCATCATCTTCATCTTCATCTTCTTCCTCTTCCTTTTCTTGCTTTTTTTCAGCCTTGACAACTCCCATTTTTGCTGCATCAGGCTTTCCTTTAGCTCAGTATGCAGCAATATCCTTTTCATCTTTTTTCCTGCAGCTTCACAGCCTTCTTTTGATAAGGCTGCCTATCATCTGCGGCAGTGCCCTCCCACATCTCTCCCTGTGACAGTGCCCTCCCACATCTCTCCCAATTTCCTTACAACTAACCAATGGATAAGCCAAGATGTTGTCCTTCGATTTTTGGGCAATACTTAGATCAGAAGAAGAAAATGGCCAAAGAATGCCTCTTGGGTGCACTGGGATCCTTGAACTACTTTTTTGTCCTCAAGAGGATCTTTAGGAGGGATGGAGGTTCTCATTTCTCTTTCATAACGAGCCTTGTTCGCCTTTGCCACATCTTCGACTTTTCCTTTCTCTCTAGCAGACACGGTCTTGCACTTCTCTGAGCACTTCCTAGAAAACTGAGAAGTTGACTGAACCATCTGGGTGCTTTTTATGCGCCTCCTGACAAGTTTGCGCAAAGAATGCATATAAGAACACGTTGCCTCTCCGCTTCCTTGGATCTCTTTTGCCCATGTTTAGTTATTTTTCCTCAGTGCGGCACAGGGTTGTCCACTGCCCATCTGGCTCTCACTTGCCCCAGTGTTCTATAGAGCCCAGTGTACTCAGAATCTGATATAATATAATCACGTACACACAATCACATATATCTCATCATTTTTGCCAAATTCTGCTAGTCAGAAGCAAATCACAGGTTCCATCCACACTCACGGAGAAATCCCACAGGGTGAAACCAGGAGGTGGGGATTGTGGGAGCTCCTCTAGCATCTGCCCTCAGTTTACCCTTTTGGCCTCCAATGATTTGTGTCCCTCTCATATACAAAATACATTGACTATTTCCCAAGGTCCCTGAGAACCTCATATCATTACAGCATCTGCTAGAAGTCCAGAATCTCATCATTTAAATCAGGTCCAGGTATGCCTGAGGTTCCTTGAGCATAGTTCCTCTCAATCTATAAAAGTAAATCTGGCCGGGCGCGGTGGCTCAAGCCTGTAATCCCAGCACTTTGGGAGGCCGAGGCGGGTGGATCACGAGGTCAAGAGATTGAGACCATCCCGGTCAACATGGTGAAACCCCGTCTCTACTAAAAATACAAAAAATTAGCTGGGCATGGTGGCACATGCCTGTAATCCCAGCTACTCAGGAGGCTGAGGCAGGAGAATTGC